ACAATCATATTCGTGCTTGAATGCATCTGATATCTCCGGCAATACACCAAGTCTCATTTTTCTTCCAAACATGAGCTCGAATGGACTTCTCCCTGTAGCAGGATGCGGTGTGGCACGGTATGCATTTAACATTCCTTCAATTAGATTGCGGTATTTCTTCTTCTCTACTTTTGCAATCCGCTCCATCTTCTTCAGGTTCTGCATAAATTTCTCTGCTTCACCATTTCCTCTCGGATGTCTAGGTTTCACAGGTTTATGTATGAATCCCTTCTCACGAGCATATTCACTGAATTCATGTCCATTGAACGGAGGTCCTCGATCTGACTTCAATTCTTTCACTGTTCCAAACGTTGAAAAACCACAAATCCAGGATTGGTTTCACACATGAAAACGATGTGGATCTGCAGTAACTTACAACAGGGTAACGGCTGTAGAGATCATACCCGACCAGGGCATAAGTTCCATCCTTAAACGGTCCCTTGAAATCCACAGAAATCGTATGCCAAGGACCTGGCGGCAATGGTGTTGATTGGAGCGGTTCGTCGTAGGTGCGATGATGGGTGAATTGACAGCTTTGACAATTTCGTACAATCTCTTTACATAGTTTGGCAATTCCAGGAAACCAGATCTTCTCCTGAAGAAGCTTCAGTGTGCGGGTTTCTCCTGAGTGCCCAATCTTATGCGCTTTCTGGACAAATTCTCTTTGACAACTGAGAGGGGGAATAACTTTATCTTTATACAGGATGATTTCTTCAACAACAGATAGGTCGGACGCTACTCCGAGAAATCTTGCAATTCTTCCATCATTTCTATGTCTTTTCCAAAGGTTATTCTGAATCACTTCTTTCAGGAACTGGTAGTCGCTATCATTTTTCGCGATTTTCGAAAGGTACACGTTTTCTTCAGAGACTACTGCTCGTAATCCTTCCTCCATCTCGTTCACTGATTTCACCGTGGGAACATCGTTATGATTTTTCGTCAGGTGTCTTGATCCATAATCAGCGATGTTTTCAGCTCCCTTTTGGTACTTGACCACATAATCTAGACCTTGTATGGCAAGAATCTGTCGCTCGATTCGTAACGGTGCTTTCGACGCTGGGTTATTAAAGAGATGCACAAGTGGTTTACAATCCGTGATAATCTCGAACTTTGGCGCACCAACCAAATACTTATAGAAGGCATCAGCACACGCAAATTTGATCGCAGCAGCTTCTAATTCGGTTTGTCCGTATCTTGTTTCAACATCAGTTAAAGCACGGTTGGCCACATGACACATTTTCCATTGTCCCTCGTCGTCTCGTTGGCATAGAATGGCACATAGTCCCCCTGGAACGTTGCTAGATTTTTCTGTCTTCTTTCCAGCATCGACGTAGATCCTCATTGGTCTATCAGGAACAAAATAGGCAAGGGTTGTTTGCTCCGTCAAACTGTTCTTTAGACTTTCGAAAGCTTCCTGTTCTTTAGGTCCCCAGGAAAAAGTTGATGTTGATTTCGTTAACTGTCGCAACGGTGCAGCAATCTGGGCGAAGTTAAAGATGAAACGAGACATATATCCCACCATTTGCAGAAAACTTCTTACTCCTTCTTTTGAGTTGGGTTCTCCACATTCTTGTAATGCTCTCACTTTTTTCTCTGATGGTTTGATTCCTTCTGCCGTAAATCTGACACCATAAAACTCGACTTCTTCCTTTCCAAATTCACACTTCTCTAATCTCAATGTCAATCCGTGGTCTTGCAGACGCGTCAGGACTAGATCGAGTGTTCGATTATGCTCGTCCCAGTTTTTTCCACCAATTAGACAATCATCTCGGTTACATTTCACATAAGGAATTCCCGCTAAAATCTCGTTTATTCGTCTGTCGAATTCATCTTGACTGGTTATCCATCCCTCCGCAAGCGTCTCATGCTTCAAATTCCCCCATGGCGTGGTCACGACTAAATATTTCTTGGATTTCTCGTCAACTTTCATTTGATGATAGCCATTATTCATATCCAAATGTGAGAACACTTTGCAATCGCCAAAGGACGCAGACAGCTCGTCTATTCGTAAACCAGGCACGATGCGAGTCCTTGATGCTCCTTTGTTAGCCAATCGGAAGTCTGCAGTGATTCGAACATCATGATCTCCTTTCGGCGTGATAACAAGTGGACTGGCGTATGAAATTGGTTCTCCAGGTTTAGTCCAAGTCATTATCCCAAGTCATTATCCCTTCTTCCACGAAGTAATCCAATTTCTTTTTGGTTCTTTCTGCGAGATGATGTGGCACGGGTCTTGGAGTTTGTATGACAGGTTGTGCATCGGGGTTCAGTTCGATGTGGGTAAGGATTGGTTCACCTGTTTCAGGATCTTTTAGTGTTCCTATGCCATGGAACATTTTCTTGTGCTTCTGCAGGATGTTTCTGAGTTCTTTCTTCTTGAGCGGTATTTCCTCTTCAGGTTTACACTTTCGTTCAGTGTCGTCACTTACGCCCGCATCGACTTTCTTAACAAACTCTCCCTCAGCGCTGTATTTAATCATACCGAGTTTCATCAGTGTTCTTTCGGATAACAAGGAGTGTTTATGGATACAATCTTCAACAATGTAGAGATCGGCGAGTGTCTCTGCGTTCTTGTTTGACATCCTTGCATCTTTAATTGTAGCTATAACTTCAATTTCTTCACCATTCAGGGCGTAGATCTTCTGTTTTGGCTTCTTAATCTGCCTCTCAACATCGGGATTTCCTTCATGAATTTTCTTGAAATCGCTTACGGAGATTAGATCAACGTCAGCGCCAGTATCTGGATCAACGATGATTTTTACTCCAAATATATGGACGGGTAATAAAATGTTGCTAGCATTTTGTCCTTTGACCGCCCGTATACCCAATTTCTCGCTAACACATCTGTAAAATTCGGGATCAGAATCAGATGAAGCAACACGGTCTAGTATAGAATCATTCGTCCCATGACCACCACACAATCCGGCAGCTTCGGCAGCTTTTACTTGCTTATTTCTGTTGTCCAATTTTCTCGAGAAACACTGTGCACTGAAATGACCAACCTTCCGACAGTTGAAACATTCTTTCTCGGCAGCTGGGCATATAGGGTGTGATCTATCACGTCCACACTTGGTGCAAGCTTTCTTCTCTTTTTCGTCATTCGAGAGTTTCCTCGGGTTTTCGCGATTTCTAAATGAATATAACTTCTGTGATTTCCTTCTCGCGAATCTTTTATTAGCTACTCTTCGCACTTCAAATTCGGGAAGTTCGCTCTTGATTTTCATTTCGTTTCTTTGTGCTTCGACGTCTTGCTTTGTAGTTGCATATTTCAAGAAGTTCTCAAGCGACCAATTATTCTCTAATGCTTTCGCTTGTAGGCTTTCATCTTTACACGTTAATATTAAACGATCTAGGATCATCTCATCATCCTGTCCGTGAAAATCGCATTCTTTAGCGAGTCGTCGAAGTTCAAGTTCATACTGTGCGATAGATTGGCCCGGTTGTCGAACGGCTTTGTTGAATCTAAATCTGGCGTGAAGTCTTGTGTTTTTGCAACATATACATGCTCGATTTTAGCAATAAGCTTCTCGTATTCGTCAAGATCTCCCTCCGGTTCAGCTCCATTCTCGTCTATAGAAAGAATTCTATCCCCACCATGGACTAACAACGCTGCTTTCATGTCTTCAGGCTTTACGATGTCGAAGTATTTCATTTGAACTTCAAGTCTTCGTCTCCACAGTTTCCATTTGCATGTGGTTTCTAATATGTCTTCGTCTGGCTCGAATTCTTCAATTTTCAACGCTTTCCTCGATTTAGGAGGCATACTTGCTTAAGTGAATCCTCGTCGCCAATGTTATAAACTCAGAACACAACTCAGGTGTGTGTGGATACATATATTAAAGAAGATTCCGTCGACTACATACAGCAGAATATTTACACGAGTTTATATAGCAAATCTTTTTGGGTTTTTTACTTGATTAACATAACAATACTTAATTGTTTAATTCGCATAATGAGTTTATATTAGTTTCGCCTATAACTACAATATATGTCAATAATGATCTCACAACAGACACCTATTTGTTTGCAACAAAGTAAAAAATTATAACAAAAAGGCAACATGATTAATACAAAAAGGAACCCTAAATTTCAGGCATTTACATCTTGTTCCAAATGGAATCATATAGTAATAGGAAATTGATTAGTAATAGGAGAGTCAACAAATCTTAAACAACTATTCTATATTGGAATAATTATTAAAAAAAAGACTACCTAAAAACCTCAACAATTTGCAAAAGTGTGTTTCCACAAAGCAGTGCTATAGTAAATTGTTATATATTTATTGTATAATATTTGAAAAATTCAGTAGTGCACAATGTATTAAAACTTACATCACATGCATTCAGTACACCACTTGCTCTTTTGCTCCACAGTCCACGCACATAAAGAATAAAATCCCTGCTTACCTAAACTACAACACACTGATATTACATGATAAACACACAACAGACAGGGTCGGATTGAAACAAATTTATAGTAAAAATTGCAACTAAATATATCCACATCAGTTCATCAGATCTAATATATTTAGATCAGATCTAATATATTCAGAGATCCAGGCCACAAAATTAATACGTGTTTGAATTGTGTTTTGTGTATTTCAAAAACATGTATGGCGAAGAAGGCAAACAAAGTTTTACAAATAAAGGGTTTTTTTTAAATATTACTGAATGTTTCTTTGGTTTCGCCAACTCGAAGCTTAGAAGGTAGTCCTATACTGAAATTATCAAGATCTGATAGGTGAATCAACAGCCATATGCATCAAATACCGGTAAGTGAGCACGAGTCTTCTGCATATAAAATAACATTTATTGATTTATAAGATCATAGGGCAGCCCAAAAAAGCGTGTTGATGACAATAAACCGAGTAAATACTGTATACGCAAGTGTTGCAACACTATATTTTGTTTAGGTTATAAATCGAGTCATGGCAATTTCTAATGCTCATTAATACACAATAACAATACTCCTTATGCATTAGGACATCAAATGCTTCACAAATACCAGAATTTCCTGCAAGAATTATAATAACACATATTGCAATTCTCTCAGGGAATGCTGCTCTTTGTGTTCATACAGAAATAATTGACATCGTATTAAATCCATATAGGTCTATTAGTTGTTGAAGCCTGAAGGCAAGGTGTTTACAAGCCCATATCCACTGAGCAGAAGGCAAAGTAGATATGAGCTGTGGCGACTAATTGTTTTAGTGTAAATTTGGTATTAAGAATGGTTAAATATACAAATGTTTCTCACAAATACATTTTGGTACTTCATAAGGTTCTCATATAAAAAATATTGGGGCACAGTATAGTTCCTTTTCCCTCTAATGGTTAGGCTTTTTTTTGTGATCTCTGTACCATTTTTTAATAAATTTTCTGGTGTTTTCCAGCAAATGATTTTTGTCATCAAGTTCGAACGCACATATTATAATAGCCGCTTTGGGAATGGTATCCACCTATGGTGTTAGCCCATCTTTACTATTCACAATGTGGGGTTCCCAAGCAGTGCTATAATTTCCCTTCCAGTATTGTAAACAAAATTCATCATTTCCAACCTCCGTTACTTTCCCAATGACTGGCCTTTTTTTGTAGTTGGATATATTTACTGCCACAAACACATCAGGTTTCAAAGCAGCCAAGTAATTATCATCCATATTTATGCCCCGGGAAGCTGGAGCTTGATATGAGCCAGTATATATCTAGGAAAATAAATGTAAAATATAGAATAATTTGTATATTTGCTATGCCAACTGCATAAGATTAGGGTTCCATTGATCAGCATGCTCATACTATAGGAGTTGCCATTTCAGTGCTAAAACTTTTTATGTTGTTATAAAAGCTTATTAGTTAATGCTTCACAAATGTATCAATCCAAGCCCATTAAAATATTTTTGTTTACCTCTTCTAGTTGTTCTAGCTCCTTCTCTCTCAAAGCAGATAGCTGTGCTGGTATTTCAGCTGTCTCAACAGGTTCAGCATTTGGTCTTCTAACATGATTTTTCAGTGAAAATATTGGAAACGTATTATCAATTGTAGCATCATTGTTGCCTGTTGTCTGCAAAAATGATTCCCACCATCCTTGTGCTGTTGAGGTCATTACAGAAAACCATTTTTGCATGTCAACTGCAAGCTTAGGTAAGTCTGCCTTTGCAAAATCTGCTGGTATTTGGACTGGCATGTCCATAGGAGTTGACTATTTATAAAATGAAATAAAACAATAACTTATAGTGCCTTGAAGCAATTTTGAGTACTTTGTGATAGTTGTGTACTTTGGGAGAAATTTTAGAATACTGGTACCTTTAATAAAGAAATAGGACCCATCCATTCATCATCACTCCACTTTCTGTAATACATTACGGCTTTGTTTTTTTCATTTCTCACAAATTTAAAGCAGTGTGGCTTGACATGATTGTGTAAGTCCTCACTGTGACCATCCAACCACTTCTTGATATCATAAATGCATGATAAACAGTCAGATTCTGGGTATGGCTTGTTACAGCATTCTTCAAATGCTTTTCTTATATCTAAAAAAAAGAAAAAGAAAATATTCAGAAAAAGACAATTAATGGCTTGTTAATATTTATCTGTTGGCTGATTGCTTCATTTATTGGTGCAAAAAATCAATGTATGCACTGTAAGCTGATGATTCACAAACAAAAAGCAACACATGCATAAGCCCGAATTCAATAGTTTTTTAATTTAACCATGCTTAAAAACAATGATCTTAAATTACTCAAATATAAAATAATTTTTTACATTGTAAAGGGCAATTTTGGTAATCAATCAATTTTGGTAATCAGCTTATCTCTATTATTTTGTCACACTGTATGTCAGCAGAATAGAACAAAATCTAATTGTATGGTAATTGTTTGTGTACAGTATCAGACAGAGGGTGCATGGTCACACATGCAGTCAAATCCATGTTGAACATATACAGTGTATATGCCTTTCCATTTTAACATGTGAACAATATATATACACCAAGGATTTACTCTGTCAGATGATTTTATGTAAGTACTTGTCTGTTAAGACTTACCATTTACTGTATATACATCAAGAAATTTAAGATGCTTTGAAAAACAGCCAAATAATGCATCAATATCTTCATGCGTATGGCCAACTGGTAGAAAGTTGCCCTTTATCTGAAAAATTAAAGGTTACATGCAATATTACTTTAACTTGTATATATACTGTATGAAACATAATTGAGATTCCTGTTGTGAAAAATTACTCCTTTGAAAAACTTGTACATTATTAGTACAAGTACAAAAAAGCACACATGATCTTACTTGATCATTAGCTCAAGCTATTTTCTAAGCTTCACATACATTTTTAGCTGCAATAATAAAGATATTGTTATTTTGAACCCACTAGACTATCAATCACTCATTACAGCACCAGGCAAAACTTCAAAAAACATATAGATGGGCCCACCTACAGTAAACCCTTTGTGGCTGTGACTAAATTGTCTGGCTTTGTTTTAAAGGTATCTCATATTCGTATTTTAACTATACCTTGTCAAACACCGACCATTCCACCAAAAGAGATAGTAAAGTTAAAACATATTTGTTTTTGTTTTCACGCCAGCAGTTGTCCAGTTGGAGATTAAGTATGTGTGGTAAACCATAGCGATCATTGAACAGTGCAAGAAGTTTGATGAGAATGTTCATTGTTAGATTGCTGTCATGTTTCCATTGAAAAAGGTCAAACATACCATGGAATAATTTTCCCATGGGACACAACCCACTATGCATTATAGTTCCAACAAGATGTGTTCTCAACTTTTGCAGGTTTGCAGTTGATTTGCAGACTCTTCGAAGATTTGGTACATCAGTTTTGGATTGATCCATACCATCCAATATGATTGTTAGATACTTTGAAGGACTCCGCCGTGCTTTGTACCGATGAAGATGATATTTTCTTCGTTCATTCCTGGTAAGAATTATTATTGAATTGTTTATACAGGATATATACTGGCTATCAACAGAGAGGTTAAGAATGCCCTGTTAGCTAATACCACACTATAATCACGCAGGTGCTGGACAAAAACCCAAAACGCAGGCAAAATAATCAGTAGACAAACAAATAATATTTGTAGAAATTTTACTCTCATTATTCTGTTTACTTACATAACACGTTCAATGTGTTCATCCAGAAGTTCTTGAATGGCCTTTCTTTTAGCTTTATTCATTGTTGCCTCTAGTTGCTTTTTATAATTTGTGCAGTGGTCACATTTGGTAAACCGGTTTTCCTGCAATAAAACAATATTTGGTATATTTATTACCACCAACTGACATGTCTAATACCAATTTGAAAATTTTGCCAAATGAAAATTTATTTGCCAAATGAAAATTTATTTGCCAAATGAAAATTTTATTGAAAAAATACATATTTTGCTAGTGGTGTGGGGATACAGTAGCTTTAAGGTTAGCTCACATGTTGAACATGTTTTATGGTTGGTAAGATTACGTAAAACTTTGCAATGTCCAGTATACTCACACATAGCCCGCTATCAGGCGCGGTTTCATGGTTTTAGTGGTGAAAATTACAGTGCCCATTTAAAATCTGTATATTATGACCATAATGTAATTGTTACCTTTGGTATTGAGACATGTTTAAATTCTTTCTCCATGATGCTATAAAATTGTGACCTACTGATGGTATCTTCAGAATCCAGGTCACTTAACATTTTCTGGTACAAAGCCAATTTTGTAAAGCAGGATGGTAAATGAACTTTTCCACTATCTGGTTGTTGGTCACTAATTGAGTTAACCAGAAATCTCAGCCATGCTATACATTCTGCCGTCTTTGTTGTGGGCCTTTTGAATCCACTGTTTCCATGGACGTACACTTCTGAACCATTTTTAAAATCAAGATATATCTTCTGGAATCTTTGTAGCTTTATGTCATGGACTTTTATCCAAGCTTGCTTACAGACTTGTGTTCCTTTTATTCTGAACACAGTTGTTTTCCCTTTTTCTGCGTCGTGAGTGGTTGACGTGTTATCTTTTAGATAATTGAGAATATAATTTCTTTCATCGACTATACTTTCAAGTGAGATAAATTCACGTCTAACACTGTCGATATCTTTAAATGGCACAATTTTTAAGCAGTCAAGATCACAGCAGTCAGACTCGATGATTCCCAAGACTATTTGTTTGTTTTTCTTGTTTGTTCCTTTATAAGAAGTTTAAGACATTGACAGTTAAATTTGAGAATATTTAAGTCGTAAGTTTAAACTTATTTATTTTTGAACAAGAATGATCCTTTTTGTATCGCTTTATCGAGCAATTGAAACAACTTATTATCATGCGCGTTCTTTTGATGTATTGATCCATTAAGATGATGTTTGTCACTAGTATTATAATTAATGTTACACAGCTCGCACAGTTTTCCTTTTACACTCGGATGAGTTGAAATTGCTTTTAAAACTTTTGGACAAGCAAAGGGAGTGTTGTGACAGTTAAAGTCCAGTTCCGGCCAGTCTTTCATTTCAACCACAAGCGGTCTATACTTTCCAGTTGCATCTTTAACCTTAATATATTTACCCCGCAATTCCCATACAGTTGCATTCCTGCGGTTGTTAATTTTTTTTTCACTGTTATTACTAGTGAAATTCTCTACCTTTTTATTACCACTGTTCTTCCGATTGCCGATGTGTTTGTTACAATTCACGGAAAATTTTATCAAATCGTTTAGGGTAAGCACTGGTTGCGTGGATTTCCAACTATTTTTTTGTGGTGTGGTTTTGATTGCCAATTGCACCATTTTCTTTCCACGGCTGTATTGCACATTTTTAAGCATTACTTCTTTGCTGCAGGCAGAATATTTTTTTGCTGTTATGATGTGGGTAACTCTGTTTGACAGGAATGTCTCAACGTGTGCTTGGTGATAGTTTAGCAAATTTACGAGCCGGTCGTATTCCGAACAGTTTTTCAGAACATCAACAAAAACTACTTTTCGTTTAAACCAACATTCATTGTCATCAGATACTGAAATATGAATACAGCAATATGCCTTAAAACTGTAGGTGCGCATGCATGCATTTTTGTTTCCAAAGCACGGAATTGCTTTAAATTTAATAGTGAACAAGTAACAACTAAAGTCTAAAATGGTTCTTACCTTCAGAATCACCCTCGTAGTTTAAACTTCGCTTTGTTTTTCGTTGTCCGCTGCTTTCTTGTGCGCATGTAGACGGGGTGTCACAATGGAGCATTCTCCTACGTTTAACAGGCGATTGGGCTAAAATGTAAAATCATTGACACTGTTGATTAAATGCCGCAAATTTATTATAGACTTCGAATCAGGCTATAGCTGAAAGTTTAAGGATGTTTCTCATAATTATTTTATTGTTTTCTTGTTTGTATATGCGCGCGACGCTAGTTAAAACTTGGAAGCGCATGCAAGGCCGACGGTCGACAAATTGTATTATTATATACCACTTGTCAAAGTTTGGTGTTCGTAGCATTTCATTGAATAATTTACTGCTATTTATTAATAATTTATTTATTGTGGTATGCTAAAAACACAAGTCACGAGTCTATCGAAAATTGGTTAGTTGCTAATCGATGTCGCATACTCCAAATTTCATATTTCAACTCGCCACAAAAGAGCAAACGGCAAGTCTTATCATTGCGTCAAGTCTTATTGAAACCTAAGAGACGTAACTTGCCCTTTTTTGCGCCGCACTTTATTTATAATTTCAACTAAAATACAGTTATTATATCTATTATGAAATTTTAGGTATAGTTAAAATTAAAAATAAAATTTCAAATATTTTCTTACATTTAGAAGGGCTGTTGTCTGGTGATGGGCTAGCAGGCGATGAGTTTCCTTCGAGTGTTGAGTAGGATCGCAGAGACAGTGGAGAAGTCATAAAAATACGAGGAGTGTTGGCGACTAGCAGAAAATGGAGAACAAAATAAATTATTACAACGCTTGTCCAAATACAGGTGAATATATATTTCTAATCTCAATCTATTTAGACACGTAGAAATGTAACATATCATACCGTTTAGCGGACTTAGTGTGTTTTCGTTGTCACTGCTGCTAAATCCAATTCCAACAGGCGAAGAGTACAGGCTAGATAACTGTGAGTGAACAGGAGTCGTACAATCCCCAGGAGAGCTCGTCACTAAATATCATCATAAAAATTGTGTAGATATAGACTATAGTTCATGTACTATATTCAAGTATACAGATTGCTTATTTGTGATCTCTTACAACTTTGCGGACTCCTCGTGTTCTCATGGTCACTGCTGAATCCAATACCGATAGGCGAACTGCCTTCTATTTCTCTCTCTCGAAGAGTTTCAATAGTGGACGGCGACGCCGGTTCTGGCAAGGATGAAAATCCAAACCCGCAAGGCGACGACATAACTATACAATTATGCGTTTTGGTCTTTTACCGCATTCTTCAAAATATTTCTGACAAGTTTAGTTACGAAGTTAGGAAGCAGCCGGTTTTCACTAAGATCAGTTTACACCCTTCTAAGTTTTTAAATGTTTTCCGTTATTATGATTTTTGTCGCTAATTAGTATAAACGTTTTTGATTGGTTGAGTTTTGAACCTTTTAACAATGAAAAATTCCTCAGTTACCTACGGCTTTGTGTTCTCGAACGCTGATTCGTTGAGCCGCGAAGACGCTATCACCTTGTATGACGCTATCACCTTGTATGACGCTATCACCTTGTATGACGCTAGAAAACCTTGCCAAAATACTCTATCTCCTCTGCCAAAGACACCAGCAGTTTTGTTCAGCAAGGTTTATTCAGCAGTCAACAAACAGTATTTTAAAAAATGCCTTCTTTCAAATGGTCAATTCGAGTAAATGAGGACAAAGCGTACGTGTTTGTCAACGGTATTCGGCATTCCAAAAATAGTGTAGAATATTTGCATGTTCTGCGCGCTGAAGTGGGAAAATTTAAGAATCGCGTGGCTGTAAAGGTATGATTTTTAATTTCTCACTGTGATTAATATAAAGATAATATTATATATTAAAGGGTATATAAAGGGTAAATATATTTGGTATTATATACTGTGGTATTGGTCTCTACCTGCTGAAATGAGATGCTGCGTGCACCAGCGACCTTTTGAGTCCTAGTTTTATATGTTTGTTGTAACGAATTAATAACCATATTGGCACTAGTTGTATAAAAATACAGTAAAGCGATTTTTAAAATACTCTTCCCCCACTCACTATAGTCCAGCGCCTAACTGCGCTTTCTGGGGTGTCATTGCCTTGAAAAAATCTGATACATTCAATATCTGATATAGTTTAACTACAAAAAATCTCCTACCGAGGTTCACTTAGCTTTCGTTTAGCGTTCACAAGTCATATACCAAAACGCACGCCGTAACATAATCGCATGAAATTTAAATTTCATTATGAAGTATACACCCATCAAAATTAATATGGCTAAAGCCAAGGTTTAGTAATAATGGACTGTTATAGTTTATAAAACTCCATATTGAGCAGTCTGACTGAAATATAAAGTTTTATAGTTTTACAATGTTTAGCAGATTTCTATCTTGAGGTTGCAAAGTATAAATGATAGAATTCTGACAGTCTATGATAATGCTCGTGCTAGCTTTTCTAAAACAAGGAATGGCGCCTCGGCCCTCAGAAACCACCTATTTTACGACGGGGCGATAATGATTCGAGTTTGAGACTATAAGTGCATGACTGGCATGCCTTTAATTGATCAGGGCGTATATAAGATAGGGCCATAGATTAAAAAATGAATGATATGGCGGTGAAACGGTGATTTGGGCCGTGATCTACGTATGATGCGTGGGACCCCCCGAACAAACACAACATGATAAACCATAGGCGGCCCTGAACTGATCTCAGGTAATCTCGCTGACCTCGTGCGACCTCATGTTGTCTGAACAGTCTTATATTATGACAAGATACGTCATCGCGCGAGGTCAGCGAGATCAGTTCTGGGCCGCCTATGGATAAACAAATATCCATTTCTACATTTAAGCCTTAAAATAACACAAATAGCTTTCGGTTAGTTGGAATTTTACATGCGTAAATTCTACGTCGTGAAAGATTAGTGATTAAAGTTTTAGGAAAATGATTCAGTGTCAAACACAAAGTCAGCTTTTTTAAAATTAATTTAAAACCCTTGGTCCAAGGGTTGGAAACTTAGTCCTAGCATTTGTCCCTGTAAAATTTTTACACAAAATATTGCTAGTGTGTTATAAACTAGGCACTACACAATGAATGAGCGCGTTATGGATGATAGTTTCACCTATTAGATGCTTCAAATAATGATGCCAGCTATCCGTACATATTAATACTGTATTTTGATTGATTCTATGTAAAAATTATTATTTTATTCATATTTATTAGTTGATTTCGTTCGAGGGGCAGATGGCAAAAGAGAACACTGTTTCTTCTCCACAGGGAAATATGACTGGTCAGCAAGCAATGGGCTTTTCCGTGAAATTGTTGCGACTGAAAATGAGCAACAATGGGCTGCAAAATGCAATGAAGCCATTGAAAAGTTAGAAAAGCAAGATTGCGCTAATGATGGTCAAGATCAACAAAATCAAGGTGGATCCAAGGATTCCGAGCCTGTTTTAATCACTAATGAAGATTAAGCTATAAATTTAAAAATGGGATCTTCATCTCTTGTGGAACAGCTGAGTACTCCCCTAACCAAGAAAAAGTGTCAAGATGAAGAGGCCAAAGAATTACAATACCAAACAAGAGCAAAAGAATGCGAAGTTGGTATGTAGAAATTAAATATATACATATGATATTTTTTGTTGAACCACTAAACCACAATGAATGTTAATTAATTTTTTACAGAAATTATCAAGTTTAAATTAAGGCTTAAATTATCAAGTCATTTTCTTAATTAAAATCCCTGCTACACAATTACTTCTTTCAATATGACCAGCTTTTTTTGCCCAATGGTTTCCTTTTTACCATTCTAGCTTACTCAAGTTGTATAAGTGCACCTTCATTTGGCAGTAATATCATGCATGTCTTTTCATAACTTTGAATAGATGAGCAATTCTATGTTCCGGTTGGCAATATTGAACTACCTCCAGCAGACAGAATGATCAGGAAAGTGGATGAAATATTTTTGGCCCAATTAAAGGCAAATGGAAAGTAACCCCAATGGCTCATATGAACCTCTTTACTTGTTGGTAAAAGGTCTGAACAGAAAGGAGAACTTTTCAAAATCAGATGTCAGCAGCTATCAGTATGAGGTACTTGGTGGTACGCATAACTTGTTGGCAACAAAGCAACTTTTAGAGAAGCACCCTGATAGTGAAGAGTATAAGGGAAGATATGCAAGAATATTTGTTGGGTTAACAAATTTTTAAGCTTTATGGCTGGCGTCAAGGCATAATAAGACTGGGTGTTTCCGTCATTAAATGACATTCAAAGATGAGGCAAGTTCTGTAGAAAGGCAATTCTAATATTGTTAAATATTAAGAGGGAGTGGTTGTTTGTTATAGTTTAACAGTCAGTCAACAAGTTACTTAAGGAACCCATTAGTGTCACAGTAGTAATGAGTACCCAACTTCTTAACTTTTCAACTTTGCTTTGTCAAATACCAGAAATTTTTCTCAAGTACATACCAAAATTGTCAATGGTAAATTATTGGTTATAGTGGTCTGAGTTACTTACGATAATAGCAGTAATCTGCCACAGGCAATTGCAGTAGAAACTACAAATTATTAATTGCAGCAGCAATCATTTGGGTGATTTACCAGTCAGTGGGTTAAAAAAGCTGTGATCACAAACATTTTTTTATTCTGCTGTAGGTGGAAGTTGCTCACAGGCAGTTGGAGATCATTGGTACAAAAAATGAGAACAATGATTTAGTTCCTAGTCAGCAATGGAGAGACAGATGTTCCCACATATTAGGAAAGACAGTGAGTAAACTTTTTAGTTTATTCAATTTGTAATATATTGTGAACACCAGGTGATTTTGCTTGCCAGTGAAAGTCTTGCCACCAGTGAATGGGTTATCAAAAGAAAGCAGATGTAATTATAATCTGTACTAAACCTAAACCTGTTTAATGAAATAATTTTAAATTAACTTGCTGATCAATAAAGCACTTACACTGAGTAATTAATATTCTTGTTAAATGTTGTACTTTTTTTAGAAGAAAAATCTTTCTGATGTATTTCTTGTTGCTGCTCTCCCAGAAGATGGTTATCAGTCATTCCTTGAGATGTGCCGAAAATATGAAAAAGGTCTTCTGAAAGACCAGCGAGCAATGGCAAAGGACCTACAAGAAAAGCCGAGGTTCAAGCCATCATACATCAAATGCTTATTTGGCCTCGACGTTTCAGATCGTGTTGCTCTGTTGGGTCAGGTAAAGATATTTCTTCCATTTTTAGGCGTAAGATGCCCCTTAGCTTATTTTTTTGCCTCTAACGTGTTCCAAAGAATTTTGAACATTTCCAAACTTGTAATTTTCCGCATATATTAGCGAAATTAACAAAATTCTGCGGATTTTTAATTCTTTTTTTAAAAAATAGCTTTTTTGGCAGACACAATTCCACTGTCCGCATAAAAAGGATTTTTGTTTAGATGTATAAGGATTCCACTGTCCGTCGGTTTCAAGTTTGAGAGACATATAGGGGTGTCCGAATTTCGGAAACCCCTGTATCTCAATTCGAGAGACATATAGGGGTGTCCGAATTTCGGAAACAGTTGTATCTCAATTCGAGAGACATATAGGGATGTCCGAATTTCAGAAACCCGTATATCTCAATGTGAGAGAAATATAAGGGTGTCCGAATTTCGGAAACCCCTGTATCTTAATTCGAGAGACATATGGGGGTGTCCGAATTTCGGAAACCCGTATATCTCAATGTGAGAGACATATAAGGGTGTCCCAATTTCGGAAACCCCTGTATCTCAATGTGAGAGACATAAGGGTGTCCGAATATCGGAAACCCCTGTATCTCAATTCGAGAGACATATAAGGGTGTCCGAATTTCGGAAACCCGTGTATCTCAATGTGAGAGGCATATAGGGGTGTCCGAATTTCGGAAACCCCTGTATCTATCTCAATTCGAGAGACATATAGGGGTGTCCGAATTTTGGAAACCCGTATATCTCAATGTGAGAGACATACAGGGGTGTCCGAATTTCGGAAACATCTGTATCTCAATGTGAGAGACATATAAGGGTGTCCGAATTTCGGAAACCCCTGTATCTCAATTCGAGAGACATATAGGGGTGTCCGAATTTCGGAACCCTTATATCTCAATGTGAGAGACATATAGGGGTGTCCGAGTTACGCAATGCACGGTATCTACAATTATTCGGGTTATATTCTCTACGCAAGTCGAATGGGCAATGGTCAAGTAAGTGAAACCAATTTAGAAGTATATTTTGTAAATTGCAAAGGAACATTCTGACAATTTAAAAAGTAAGTTGTCTAAATTAAATTTTTATTATGGTATGTTTTCCCACGTAGAGCCGGAAATATCCAGCACACAATGAAGATGTATAATATATATTATATATATATATAGATTTATAGGTTCTAAAGTTCTTTCAACTTTCGCCTGGCCTCTCGTTCCTCCTCTTCTGTTTTTACCAGAATGAGGCAATTGCGCTCGATCGTGACTGCTGCAACACCGCCAGCTGCAAGAAAAAGATTTGACAAAGATGATAATTATAAAAGTTCAATACTGTACCAGGCGGGAAACGTATATTATATATACATCATTCGAAAAAAAGGGTGGGTTAATATTTTATATTTATGAGGTTAATGACATACCTTCGGGTAAATTAACATCTAATATCCAGTCACCCGAGTGACTGAACATTTCTACCAGCTGCAAACATGTCTCAAATTCTCTGTTTTGCCGAATTGACACTAATGAAGTTTGGGACCTTGCCAAACGCGAAGTTGAAGTGTTCTGGCAGAATTCGCCTAGATACCGAAGCATGGAGGACAACAAATGCTTCAACAGCCGCGTTCATGCCTGGTAATATATTCCCTACAGAGTGAAAAAGGACAACGATTAACCACTAGCTACAGTATTCTGCTACATGAATTGCGTACACAGTAACATTTTCTGCATTGTTTGGACAGAAGGAGGCCAGCCGCTCTGCTTGTGTTTGTCAACATAACAGGAAAGTGCGAGTGGAATTATACACACTTCAAATTCAAATTAAAGCAAAATGAGTCAACTATAGTTCCCCGGCAGGAATCGAACCTACGCTTTTACGTGCATCGAAACCCCTAAATTTACGTGCATCAAGTGAAGTGCCAAAAATCACGCTGGTTGTGGATATATACTCCACAAACTGGAACAGTCATGCAGGAACACACACCACATGGTTGGCGGTTGCCTTAAAAATTACTAACTATCATCTGTTTATTTTTGTTTTTTACGCCCCTTAATTTACAAAAACGTTCCAATAAGTTACTCATGACGTTCCCTTTTTTCCCACAAAAACCTAAATTTGTGTTTTCATCAATGGGATTCACGCATTGCCTGTATGCATATCGCTTAAGCGCAAGGCTATAAAAGGCATTTATTAATTTATATATAGTACTTTATTGATATCAAAACAGTCTCGCCGGGACAAGGGTCTTGTATAATAAGGAGAGTGTTTATATACATTGATCACATACATCATACATTCAGCTGCATTCGAGATTAAAATTTTACTCGTATTCAATCCCTATAAATAATAATGACATGCCTACTTCGTTTTTTCTCGGGCAAACAGGGATCATACGAAGCGCCATGCAATGAAACAAAATGAAAACGCAGCGCAAAAATGGAATTTCAGCGGTAACCAAATATAGATAACGACAGTGTCAAGCAATTTGATCACACATATATAACTATATATTATACATATGCATGCATAGCCTTTAAATAAGGCCTTTACATATGCTATATTTTTGTTCCTACTTATAGCTTTGCTCTTAAAAAGGAGGTTTTTTTCTTTCTACCTACTATAAATCCGAGAAGCCTAAAGCTAGCTAATATCAAAAAGGTTTCAAAATATCGAAACTTAATACATACCTTGAGAGGCTTATTATCCTCACTTTTCACGGCGGCAGCACTGATGATACTCGACGCCTGTCTTTGCTAGGGGCTTTCCAGCAACATATACATAAGCCTTTCCTTGCCTTACGCGAACCGACCACTTTTTCATTTGTGGCATATCTATATATAAAAACTCTCTCTCAAAACTACTGGCATTGACAATTGAAGCTCAATATGTTGAATGTGGGAAGAGCGCACATGCGAAGTATATCATATGAACATTACACCTGGTCAAAGCGGTAAACTTAACCAATAACAAAGAAAAGTTTTTTCCGTTGTCAGAGAGTTAATTGATGGGAATATTCTAATCCAATCAGTGGACTATTGTGAAATAAAACAGGTTGTCAGGCAAGAAGGAATCACCTTCGAGCTTCGGCACAATTTACTGATATATATGTATTTTTTAATATGCTCAACAGCTAAACATTAATTATTGTTTATATATATTTTTGCGAGAAGTGATCAAATTTTAGCACAATGTTGTCCTCACCAGATAAAGAAGATGACGATTCCTCTGTTTTCGAAATGGGGTTTTCAAGCTCACCTGAACCAATATCACCAGCATTGTCTTTAATGTATTTGTTATCTACGAATAAGATGGACCGGCGTCAGCCACCAGCAGCTCACCCGGTTTTGATACAAGATTTAGTGACAGTGAAAAATCATCTCCTCTCATACATTTAGAGGTAAAAAGTAAGAGCATCATGAATTAATAATGCCATATAATTATACATATATTTTTAATTTGTTTTTTCCCTATCTTATGTATGCAGTTTCAAACTCACTTGAGGCTTCTCCTTCATCAATCTCAACTAGTACAGATCTGCGCGAAGAATTTTCTTCACCATTTTCTGTTGGGTTAAATAGCGACGCAAATGGATCCTTTCCTGATTCAAATTCTTCTGAACGTAAGTTCCTAATTATTACCAATCTTATATGAAACTAAGCTAAATAGAAAAGGCAATCGCGATTGCTAAAATTGGTTTCAGGTTTCAGAGCGATTTCTTAATTTGTGCTCTATTATGTGAAATAAGAATGCAAATTTTGTTATTTGATTTTAGATCTTTCGTGCAATCTTTTGCCTCACGATACGCCGTCAGCATATGTATTAAGTAGGAGCCCAAAAAAGTCAAGAGAGTTTTACAATACGATTCAACCGATAGCAGTGGTAAGCGATAAATTTTTATGATATTTTGCAAGTTATTTTATTATATAAACATGCGATAATAATACTTCTGTATCCTGAGACACCATTCTGCAAATTTTCATATACTAAGCGGACTTTGCGTGCGCGCAACGATTAAAATATTTGGTCACTGAGGATTTACAGTTACATTATTCCCGGCGCTTGTTTGTGTGTCAATCAATATGTTAGATTATAATTTTTTTCCCCAAGACCTGCAAGGCGTAAAGATTGTTAAATATATAAACCCATGAATTACAGGCTGTAAAAAAAACGCAATCACCAATATATTCATAAATATATTCAAGTGAATATTAAGCGTTTTTTATGATTTTTGGCACTTCACTCAATGCAGGTAAATTCTAAAGGTTCGAATTAAGGGTCTTTATTTCGAGTGGAAATATACACACTTGAAATTCAAGCCACTGCGCATTGCACCGGCATCGCGATTCCTGCCGGAGAACTATAGATCCTCCGGCAGGAATAGTCAATAGTTGACTGATTTTTCCATCAACTGTTCCTGGCTTGCATTCGAAGTTTGTATAATTCCGCTCGAAATTAAGACCCTTTGAATCTTTAGTTTTTTTTATACACACTGTATAACAACATATCATGTATATACCTATCTTCAAACAACAGCATCAAATGTGGTATAACAACTGCCTAAAATACCACATTTAATGCTAAGTTGTTTGAAGACGCTGCCGCGCTGTCCTCGTTATATTGGCACGCAACTTCATACAAGAATACCCATTTAATTGAATTAATTATTTTAAAGACACGTGGGGATAAATGGAACACCATACCCATGTAAATGAGAATGGATACTTTCGATTTTAGGATAAGGCGTTTTTCCATTACGGGCGAAGCGCGCTTAGATTTTTAAAGCAAAATAAAACGATTAGAGTTGTATATATCTAAGCACTGCTAATGTCAACTTGCAATTCGATGATGACATGCAGATTTTCCGCCAATACATAGCTACAAAGCTAAAATGTGTCACCAACAACAGCTAAGATTGATTGACGTCAAACATTGAGGCGCTGGCAAACCTGCACCGGAAAAACACGTCATATTGAACACTATATGATTAAACCCAGAACTGGATACTTTTTACATATAATGGGTGCAGATAAATGCATGTAGTTCAGGGACACCATGATAAACATAAAATCTTTAATTCAAATCAAAATTCCAAAATTCATTAAAATGGCAAAACGGATAATTTATACGCTATCAGTCGCGACAAACTAAACTTTTAGTAATATTTTAAAACTCTCAAAAAAATTTTCAATAGGACTAAGATATTTTCTTTGCGCATATTTCAGTAAAAAATTATTCCGAGGAATTAGCTCGACAGAGGTACTACAAAATTATAGGGAGATACGTTATATGAGCCTTTGGACAAACCTACAACAAACACTCTATCCTACTGTTTAAGCTTACTGTAGGGTTTGATATCCAATTTTCCCTGCTTTGTCCTATGGATTTTAAAAGAAAATTCAATTTCAGAATACTGGCTAGCAATATGCTATTCAAAAGTGTAACATGAATTTTGTTCTCTTTAGATTTACGCTGGGCCATATCAACCACCTGCTGCCAGAGGAATCCGACATGATGACAACTATCTTCAGTCGCTTTGTCCTGGCGTGTTGGTTGCAGTGTATATTAGTAATTACAAAAAGAGACCGGTTATTGGTAATGTTTGTGAAGTTTTAAATTCAAGTTGCATTACTGCAAAGGTAAATATACCGCGACCTGGCAACCCATTATGGTTACGAGCAAAGATGTTGAAATACCTTCGACAGACACTCTTCCAAAAGATTCAGTAATTCTCTGCTCGTTCTAACTTGACGATAACAACCATCTCCAAGAAAATACCAGAAAATATTTAAAACGGTGGTATCGGGAGGAAGCTAAAAGGGCTAAGGGTCTGGATTAATTTAAAAAAGTATATTTTCTACGCTTGTACCTATAATTATACAGACGCAAGATGCTAAATTTTTAAGTGCAGAAGCATTGGAGAATATTACCCTCAATATCATTATCGCATTCTAACTAAAATGTATTCCAACATTCAAATGACTCATTTATCTTCAGGAATTATCACTGATATGAATAATAAACACTACCTAAGTATGGACTGCATTGTTAAGTGTTTTGAGTTTTTATAATAACCCATTAACCCATTGTAGATACAGTGCACTAGCTACGTTACTCGGAAACCCCTATATGTCTCTCACATTTAGATATAGCTAGTGGTTTCCGAAATTCGGACACCCTTATATGTCTCTCACATTGAGATATAGGGGTTTCCGAAATTCGGACACCCTTATATGTCTCTCGCATTGAGATATAGGGGTTTCCGAAATTCGGACACCCTTATATGTCTCTCACATAGAGATATAGGGGTTTCCGAAATTCGGACACCCTTATATGTCTCTCGCATTGAGATATAAGGGTTTCCGAAATTCGGACACCTTTATATGTCTCTCACATTGAGATATAGGGGGTTCCGAAATTCGGACACCCTTATATGTCTCTCGCATTGAGATATAGGGGTTTCCGAAATTCGGACACCCTTATATGTCTCTCGCATTGAGATATAAGGGTTTCCGAAATTCGGACACCCCTATATGTCTCTCGCATTTAGATATAGGGGTTTCCGAAATTCGGACACCCTTATATGTCTCTCACATTGAGATATAGGGCTTTCCGAATTTCGGACGCCCTTATATGTCTCTCACATTGAGATATAAGGGTTTCCGAAATTCGGACACCCTTATATGTCTCTCACATTAAGATATAAGGGTTTCCGAAATTCGGACACCCTTTTATGTCTCTCACATTGAGATATAGGGGGTTCCGAAATTCGGACACCCTTATATGTCTCTCGCATTGAGATATAAGGGTTTCTGAAATTCGGACACCTTTATATGTCTCTCACTTTGAGATATAGGGGGTTCCGAAATTCGGACACCCTTATATGTCTCTCGCATTGAGATATAGGGGTTTCCGAAATTCGGACACCCTTATATGTCTCTCGCATTGAGATATAAGGGTTTCCGAAATTCGGACACCCCTATATGTCTCTCGCATTGAGATATAGGGGTTTCCGAAATTCGGACACCCTTATATATCTCTCACATTGAGATATAGGGCTTTCCGAATTTCGGACGCCCTTATATGTCTCTCACATTGAGATATAAGGGTTTCCGAAATTCGGACACCCTTATATGTCTCTCACATTGAGATATAAGGGTTTCCGAAATTCGGACACCCTTTTATGTCTCTCACATTGAGATATAGGGGGTTCCGAAATTCGGACACCCTTATATGTCTCTCACATTGAGATATAGGGGGTTCCGAAATTCGGACACCCTTATATGTCTCTCGCATTGAGATATAGGGGTTTCCAAAATTCGGACATCCTTATATGTCTCTCGCATTGAGATATAAGGGTTTCCGAAATTCGGACACCCTTATATGTCTCTCACATTGAGATATAGGGGGTTCCGAAATTCGGACACCCTTATATGTCTCTCACATTGAGATATAGGGGTTTCCGAAACTCGGACACCCTTATATGTCTCTCGCATTGAGATATAAGGGTTTCCGAAATTCGGACACCCCTATATGTCTCTCGCATTGAGATATAGGGGTTTCCGAAATTCGGACACCCTTATATGTCTCTCACATAGAGATATAGGGCTTTCCGAATTTCGGACACCCTTATATGTCTCTCACATTGAGATATAAGGGTTTCCGAAATTCGGACACCCTTATATGTCTCTCACATTGAGATATAGGGGTTTCCGAAATTCGGACACCTTTATGTGTTTGTAAAAATTCTACTGATAAGTATGTTTTTGGTAAGTATTAACTTTTGCTCAGATTTTCTCGCTTTTTATTGATTTTGGAGCCATAGTTGGTTCACTCCGCTAGTATTTTCGAAAAACAGTAAGAACGAGGCCATATTTTTCTTACTCTGCGAGAAATAGGCTTTTTCACCAACGAAATTTTAACATATATCCGCAAGAAAA